AAGACTATAGCCTCTAATTATTTTCTTGTTTTGTACATTCATTTCCAGCGTTGGAAACCTAATCTATCCATATACTAATGTTTCAATACTATATACAACTACTGTTTTTATTATTTAAAGAAAATATTAAATAGGCCATATATAATGGCTGTGCTTACCACATCAGACAAAACAAAACTTCAAAAGCATTCCATATTCTAACACTTTTAAAATAATTTACATATTTTAAAAATTTATTCATATTTCACCCGAATACATTTCATTTTGTATTTTAATTTTAGGTATTTCTAACTTACAAAATTATAATCGCATGCTAAAGCTCCATTGGATTCTCCAAGGTCCTTATAACAGAGTACACAGTATGGTGATTTCCAACACTTACATAAATAAATTAAGTAGTATGACTGGATAGCAAATCTTTGTGGTTCAAAGGATAGAATGTTTTTTTTTAAAAAAAAAAGATAATATAGAACAGAGAACCTTAAAACTCTTGGGACATTAGTTATCAACTCTCATTCCCTCATCCCTCTCTGCCAAAAATTACCTGAACTAGTGATTTTAGCAAGTGGTCTGTGCCACCATGCCCAGCCATGTGGAGCTTTTCAGAGGTGGCTGGACCTTCAGTGTATAATGCTGGGACTAATGATATGATACTGGGATTGACTTATGGCATGACTCTAGGATTAAGGGCACCCTGTAGTCTGAATAGAACATTAGGGACAGAAAAAGGGTTATTGTTGCAGTTTGTCACTTGCCATTTGTTGCTTGCTACTTTGCAGTTTTGCTGCCTTCTGCCTGCCAAAAACTGTTTCTCGTCTGTGATGCCCTTCTGGCATGTCATCCTGCCCTGGAACCAGCCAACTATGAAATGAAACCTCTACAAACTGTGAGTCTACTAAACCTTTCCTCCATTAACTTTGGGTGTTGAGTATGTTTTCTCAATAAAAAGAAAAGTAATTAAGGCAATAGGCCAACTGAAAAACAGAAAAAGAGGCCTGAAAAATAAAACTAGGAAATTGTGAGGTTATGTACAATTTCTGAAGAAAAGGATAAAAAGAAAAAGGATACAAATATCGTTGCAGAAAACAAAACTTTTTTAAAATTTGAACTAAAACACCACAAAACTAACAACAAATCCTAAGCAGGATAAAATCAAGAAAAGTTCAAGACAAACAGTCAGGAAATTGATGAAAGCTGGTAGTAAAGAAAAAAAATAATGAAAACACTATATGGTAAGCCTTAAATGGAGGGAAAGAAAATGCCTTTGGATTACTGTTCACAAAGAATCAAGTCTTAATGAAACCAATATAGTATGCAGAAGAGAAAACTCAATATTAAAAATTTTATATATAGTAAAAACAATATCAAGTTAAAGCAATTTTTTTTTAAAAAGCTAAGTTCATTGCCAATAAACTTTGCTTGAGCCTGAAGCAAGCAAAAGTAAAAAATAAATAAAAATTAAGAGTAAAAATCAGTGGAAACCAGAAATAAACAGAGAAATAGGAAACAGGAACAGGAAAACAGTTAACAGTTTTGTTGAAAACAGAAAAAAAGAAATCAACAAAACCTGAAACTGGTTTTTAGAATAAATCAACAAAATTCTTAAGTTTCAAGTACAAACAAACAGGAAAAAATTACACTACATCGACATTATAAAATTACAAATAAATGTTACAAACCATACTTTGCCTACAAATTTAATAACAAGTAAAAAATTCCTTTGAGGACAAAATTTACCAAAATTTATAAAAAAGAAATTACTTTAATAGCCTTAGGGGCTGGGAATTTAGCTCAGCGGCATAAGGACCTGCCTTGCAAGCAGGCAGTCGTGAGTTCGATCCCTGGTACCGATAAAAACGAAAAAGACAAAAAAAAAAAAAAAAAAAAAAAGAAAGAAATTACTTTAATAGCCTTATACTAACGATGTTGAATAAATAATTTAATACTCTTTCAAAAAAACAAACACTGGATATAGGCAGTTTCAGAGGTGAATTTGACAAAACGTTTAGGAAATTTTCTCCATAGTCTTTAATAGAAAAACAGAAGAAGTGTGCCATGAAGCCAGAATTAACTTAATATCAAAGCCAGCCAGGACACTATAGAAAGGAAAACTATAGATCATTATCTTTTATAAAGATCTTCAACAAAACAATAGTAAACTGAAGCAAATAATTTATTTTAAAAATTATATACAAGGCCAGGGATTTAGCTCAGCAGCTCAAGTGCTTGCCTGTGAAGTGTGAGGTTGTGAGTCCAAACCCCAGTACCAAAAAAAAAAAAAGGATGTGTAAAAATTATATACCACAACTAAGTGGAATTCCAATTATGCAAGGCAGTTCAACCCTGAAATCAGTGAATGTAATGTAACACATGAACAGAATAAAGAAAAAAAATCACATTGAATGAAGACAAAAAAGTTTGATACAATGGAGTATTACTCAGCTATAAAGAAGGATCACATTGAGATATTTATCAATAAATGGGCACAGCTTGAGACCATACTCATAAGTGAAATAAATCAATCTCGCATGTGTGAATATCGAATAGTTTCCCTAATGTAAGTAATGATTCAAATATATAAAAGTATGTAGTAATCATGATTCCCCATTATATGGCCTTGAAGCCTTATAAAGTTTTCACTTATTAATTGGAAAGGCTTTATTCTGGGCTTCGTGATATGGAAATATTTGAAGCTATAGTATATGAAGTTATATTCAAATATTTCAAGGAAAAAGACAGACACTATGGTAACTACTATTAATTGGGTTATTTGGTGGTGAAGCACTAGGTTACTGAAACAGTCATGCTTTGACCTGTATTGTTATGTTGTTATGTCCTCTTTTATCGCAATCTCTTCCTTACTCATTAAAAAAATTATTTAGTTATTTTTATGGTTTTTTTCATAATTAAGGGGAAAAATTTAAAAAATTAGCAGGATATATTATAGTAACTTTTTTGATTTCCTATTAACTTGTTTTGAAGTCCTGTCATACTCCCACTATCTTGTTTTGACTGATTAGACTCTGTTCCATTCTGTCTGATAGTATCAAGTTTGGGGGTATAGGCAACTACTTTGAAGGCAATAAGATTCACTAAGATGCCCATTGTGGTTTGACTATTGTCTCCTTTGGAAGTCCTGTAATGTTTACAACGTTTAAGTTTTATTGGTCTTGTTCTCTACTGTTTTGTTCTCTACTGTTTTGTATAATTAGGTATTATAATACCTAATGAGATAGACAATTCTTTTTAAGGAAACAAGAGACATTATGGTAACCATTGTTGATAACCTTGTACTCTGTTCTTACATCACGTACTATGTCTATCCTTGGTTTTGACTGACAGCTTTGTTTTGCCATATTTGACTTTATTCTCTTCCAAAAAAAAATAAGAACTAAGGAGTAATAAAACCCAAAATGTGTAAATTTCGTTGTAAAAAGGAGAGGGAAAGAAAGTGCTCTAAGGGATACAACTGCAAGTGTGTTTAGGGGTGTTAAATAGCTGACCATATTAATGTTTTTGGTTGGATCATTGAACACAACTGTTTGCAGTCTCTCTGTTTGAATGTTCACTTTGTATGCTTTGATACTGTGACTTGAGCAACTATCTCTAAGATGATAATGTGTAATCTATTAACTGGTGATTTCTTACTGTTTTTTTTTTTTTGTAGTTCTTTATTACTTGTACCCTTACACCGCTTTGTTTTGTTTTGTTTTTTCTCTTTTTCATGTTAAATAAAAATTTTTTAAAAAAGTTCGATAAAGTCCAATGCTCATTTGAAACTTAAACTCTGAGCAAATCTCAACTTCATAAAGAATATTTACAAAATAATGTATAACTAGCATCATACTTATTGGTGAGAAACTGGATACATTCTCCCTACTATGGGCAGTAAAGCAAGGATGTGCTCTCTCACCATTCCTTTTTAGCACATTGCCAAAAGACCTAAACAACAGTTATAAAACATTACTAACTGGGATATGGCATGTAGGGTTCATGTGATGAAATTCAGTCCCTGTTGCAAAGAATTAAAAGACTGAAAACCTGATCTAAATACAGCATTTAGAGTTAAGGTCTCTGGGAGGTGATGAAGATTATGAAGTCATGAGAGTTGAGCCCCATGACTGAATACTGGTAGCTGTGCAAGAGGAGAAAGACAGAATACATCACATGCTGCCTGTATTGTTCAAAACAAGGTCTTGCTAAGTTGCCCAAGCTGGGCTCAAGCTTCTGATCCTCCTGCCTCAGACTTTCAGAGTGCTGTGATTGCAGGCATGTGCCACCATACCCAACTAAAAAGGAATAAATTTTAAATGCATAATACTATATTTAAAAAGATGGCTACATACATTATGATTTCGATTTCATGGTACTATAGAAAAGACAAAGCTAGAAAGTAAACGTATCAGTGGGAGAATGTGACCAAAAAAAAAAGTGTGTGAAATAATCTCACTGAAAGCTGTAGGGGAAGAGAGCTGCAATAAGTAATGAGTGAACGTTGTTAAGACTAAAAAAATAAATTATATATAAACACTATACTCTTGTTGATGAAGGTGCTTCCAAAAGGAATATGGACTAACAATTCTGAAACCACTGAACATGTCAGAAATGCTCAATTAAGTAAATGGGTTTTGGCTGGTGTAGGACAGGACTCTTTTATTTGGGAATGAGAGTTTACCAAAAAGTCAGAAGAGTACAATGATCTGTATGATAATGGAATACAGTTGGAGACATCAATATGAACTTATGTTTAGCTTACATAAATGCAGATGGTTACATATAAAAATATTTACTAAGATGTGTACACGAGTCAGTATAGACATTTATTTCCTTGCTCTTTCAGGTCACAGTACTGAGAAGTAACAGCGCTGCAATATAAATAAGCACATCTAGTGCCTAGACCTTGATTTCCAATACCGTTTTCCAGCAAAAGGAACCAGAGCTCTTTGGAGAAACTGATGATTCTAGAACTAAGGCAGTAAATTATCAGATATGCCTGGAGTGCTCACTATAATAGCCATACAATAAAACTGGAACAACACAGAGAATATGAGTAGGGATCCTACACATGGATTACATTCAAATTTGTGAAATATTTAGTATTTTTATAAGAAAAGATTTTAAAAGCTTTTATCATATAGAAGTGATTATTATTTGAGGGGATTATTATGTCCAGTGCCATTCAAGCATTATGCAGAATACAGACATTGAAACATGGCAAGGAATCCACAAATACATATAATTTTTATGTTTTTGTCTGCTAAAAATAAATGTAATCTTTTCTTTACAATCTTGTGCCAAAAAGTTGAGGACATGTTCCAACTAAAGCACAATGATAAGAGTACGTCAAACATAAAAGAATCCAACTGGCAGAGTACCCAATGGCAAAATTAGCACAGTTTACCAAAATATGGAAAGTGCTATTGGATTAATAATCCAAAGTAAGAGATAAACATCTATATGCCCACAATGATAGATAAGTAAACAAATAGAGTAGTGAGGTAGACAAATGTCCTCCTGTACAGAACAATTCTGAATAATTTTTGTACAGATTCTACCATTAAGGAGGTGGAACAAATACCCAAGTGTACTGAGCACAGCAACTTCCATGTGTGTGTATGAGGGGAGGAATCAGGTAAACACTAGGGAAACCTGAAGAAAGAATAAACCAGTTAATAATAATTAAACAATATTGGTTCGTTAACTGCAATGAATGTACCACATTAACGAAATGATAATATTAGGAAAACTGGGTGTGGGTAAGAGTAAGAATCTCTGCTACATCTTAGTAATCTTTCTACAAATCCAGAACTATCCTATGATTTAAGGTTAACTTTTTTAAATCTTGAAAAACTAGAAACAAGAAGCTAGCTCCTTGAAAAGATTAATAAACTGAAAAAACACTAACCAAATAAATGAAGAAAAAGAGTCTTAAATTACCAGTATCATAAATGAAATGGGCACATCACTACAGATTTTATAGATAAAGGATAAGGAAATGTTATGAACAGCCTTATATCACTAAATCCAAAAGCCGGAAGGAAGGTGTATCCATTTATCTGGTACAAAAACTAGGCAGGAAGATTAAAGTTAATGGTTTCTTACCTGAAACTAACTCACCTAATGTCTTTAGCTGTTAATACAATGTAAATTGTTTCTTATTAAGTCTTTTTGCTGAGTGGGTTTGTATTTTGTATTTTTGTATGCACAAACATTTTAGGCAATTTACTTGACAAGCTACTTTAAAATTTTGATTAAGGTAGCAATAGTACCTTCTTCTCCTCTTTCACAATATCACGTAACTTTGCAAAGTGAGAGAACTATCATTCCTACTAATAAAGAATTTGCTTTCTCATGTGTTCTTCCTTTGTGGCACACTTCTGACTTTGCAGATATTATGAAGGAAACTAAACACCATTATGACAACTCAAAACACTTAAATTAAAAATATAAGGCTTCTATGAATGAAAAAATGTTTAATGTGTAGCATTATATATCTCAAAGCCATATACAATAGGATTTTACTTCAGATTAGGGCATGCACATTAAAAAATACTTCATATATCAAATTGAATTCCAGTGAATGTCTAAATGTGCTCCCTCCTGTTATTTGTAACAACAATATCACATTTGGCTTTCTTTTTTACCCTCAGTTATTTTCTGTGTCATATGAATAAGATTGTTATTAACAGTTTGTTGAACTGTTTTTTGTGTGTCCTGATGTGGTCACTGTTTACATGAAAAGGTTGGGAAGAACAGGTATCAGTTCCAGCAAGCATCCTCTTAAGATACAGGAACCATTATTAATGTCTGTATATCAAGTATTGTCTTGAGAAAGACAAATGCACAATAGACCACTGCATAGTTTGATAAAAATTATCACTCTAATAAGATCTTTTGTTTTCCTCCCTCTATCTCTAAAATGATTGAATCAATTGCTTTCAACTTCCAACCAGGAAGGTCCTTTCCTCTTTCTTTTTCCACTTTCCTCATTGTATCCCCAATCCTTTCTCATATCTTCTTCCTCCAGCAATTTCTGTTCTACTTAAGTTAGAGGTAGACTTGGCTATTTTTGTATCTAGCAAAACAAAACAAAACAAAACAAAACAAAATGTTATAGAAAAACAAGTCATTAAACTGATATGAGTGGAAATTAACTATATCATAAAAGAAAAAAATTATACTTTTATGAACTTTAAACAATAACAGGTCACTGCCATCGAGTCAATGTGTCCATATCTTTCTGAGTCCTCTTCACAGATTTCATATTGGTAGTTTAAAATCAGCCATGATGGAAGGAGCCTCTGTACTATAGAAATAAGAAAGTACTACAAATCAAGAATCTGTCTTTATACAAAGAACCAGTTATTAAACATTAACATATCGCTTGCTTCAGTTTCCACCTATCTCAAATAAAGCTAATAAGAACTCCTAGGAATATTTTTCAAAAACTTCAAATAATGTCAGCAAAATACTTAACAAAATTCTAGACACACAAAAGGCACTTAGAATGTGAGTTGGTAGCAAGATTATTGTGGCATCACAAATACAGTGTGGTCACATAAAAGTTAACCATAAAAAGTCTTACAAGAATGAAATAGAGACACTAGGATAATATTCTAGTCTGCAGGAACAGAATAGGGTTAGGGTTAGCTAAGCACCTCTCAAGAAGACACAGATGGAAGAATGGTGGAACAGAGAAAAAGGAGAGAAATCTTCAATGAAGAGTATTAAAAAAAAACCTAGAATACATTAAACAGATTCAAAGAGATTACCAGGAAATTAAAAAACTCCATTGAAAGCTGGCAAAGCTGCTTGAAAGAAACTAAAGATAGATTTAAAAAGCCTGAAGATAGGTTTGCAATGTGTGATGATGAAAGGAAAGATCTCTTCAAAAATAACAAGGAACCAGGAAGTAACAATACAAAGGCTAGAAGATGACAAGAGGATCAGTAATTTAAGAATAAAACATGTGAGTGAAGAAGCAGGGCTAACAAGGCTATTCACAGAAATAAGGAAAACTTCCCAACCATAGGAAAAGAAAATGATATCCAGATAAATGAGGCATACAGAACTTCAGCCTGCTACAACCAAAACAGATCTATACCCAGACATATAATAATCAAGATCCCAGAAATTCATCACAAGAACAGAGTATAAAAAACGGTCAGAGAAAAGAAACAGATCATCTATAAAGGAAAACCCATCAAAATCATGACAGACTTCTCGACACAAACTATCAAATCAAGAAGAGCTTGGAGCAAAGTATTCTAAGCCCTGAAAGAAAATAACCTCCAACCCAGATTGATGAACCCTGAAAAACTGTCTCTCAAAATTAATGGAGAAACAAGATGCTTCCAAGACAAAGAGGAACTGGGGGAGTTCATGACTACCAATCCAACCCTACAAAAAATACTGAAGGACATTCTAGAGAGAGAGAGGCCTCAATGAACAGGACAGACAGTGGAATGGAGAAGAAAAGTAGACAACCAATGGCAGAAAAATAGCATAGCAGAAATGAGGCAGAGAAGATTGGCGATAATCTCTCACATAGATGGCCTTGATACACTAACAAAAAGAAACACAGGTAGAGTAGATCAGGAGATAGGATCCATCAAGATGATCTGAACAGGAAATATAATTAACCTGGAAGAAGGTTTATGGACTGAATGTCAAATATGAGAAAATAATGCTCTATGTGACAGGGAACCAGAGAGAAATAAGGGCAGCTCTTCCAGCAGCTGCAGATAAGTTGGAAAAACTTGACGCTTATGTGCAGTGGAGAACTACTCAGCTATAACAAAGGAAAACTTGGAGGCTTTTGTAGGTAAAGGAATACATCTTAAGATCAAGCCCAGGGGTAAAAAAGTTAAGAACCACTTAGGTAAATAGGGGGTTGCCCCCCTAATCTAAAAACTAAAGGAGTTAGTGGGACCCAAAATATACAATGCACCTGGGGCTGGGGATTTAGCTCAGCGGCATAAGCACCTGCCTTGCAAGCAGGTGGTCGTGAGTTCAATCCCCGGCACTGATAAAAAAGAAAAAGACAAAAAAAAAAAAAAAAAAAACAAGAATATGAAAAAATAGTCTCACTTCAGTAAGAGAAATAAATTTATATAAAAAATATACAATGCACCCTATGAAAGTGAAAGGGGAGGCACTGTCTAAAAAAAGGCAGCAGAGGACACTGTTAATAGTGTATCAGGATTTAAAATCCACACTATTGTCATCGTTCTGTTTAGGTTGATTATGTTCTGTTCCAGTCTGTCTACTTATACTAGATTTGAGGACACAGACAGCCTATTCCAAAAATAGCAGGGTATACTACGGTAACCATCCTTAATTTCCTATTAACTTAATCTGAAGCCCTGTATAACTTACACTGTCTTATTATGACTGATCTTATTTGAATATGGTTTGTTAAATCGTTGTTTTGTCTTGATTGATTTTATTTGAATCTGTTATGATTGATAATATCAAGTTTGAGAGTATGGGCAAATACTCTAAAGATGACAAGATTAACTAGGCTACCCACTCTGGTTTGACTATTACTTGGCTTTTGAAGTCTTATAATGTCTCCAGTATTTTGTTTTTATTAATATTGTTATGTACTGCTATGTACAATTATTCTATGCCTGATGATATAGACAACTGTATTGACGATAACGAGACACCATAGTAACCATTGTAGATTAGTAACCACGTATTGTGATTTTAAATGACTTTTTCGTTTCATGAATTTGTTTTGTTTTGCTTTTCCCTCTAATACAGAAAGGACAGACATACATGTAGAGACTCATGCATACATAGAACTTCTAAAACAGTTAATGAGAACTGATTATATAATGCACAATGAAATAAACAACTACTTTGAAGAAAAAGACACTAGGGTACCCAGTTCTGATTCTGTAGCATCATGATGTGAAATCCAGCAATACTATTATTCTTTGCTCAGAGTGATTTTAGTCTGTTTTGTTTTAATTTCAACACATGTGAAGTTATGGACAGCCATTTTGAAGAGAATGAGAGACACTGTGACAGCCATTGTTGACTTCCCTATGGTCTGGTCTTGAACACCTAAAATGTCTTCATCATCCTGTTCTGATC